GTAAGCATTTTAATAGATTTAATTCCTTCTAACAAATAAGTGCAAACACAAGTGCAGAACTGTCTTACAGGACGTGTTGGATGCTTTCCGCCTGCTCTTCGTGTACTCACAGCAATGACAGAAAAGAAAGTCAACTTCCTTATACGAGCTTTGTAAAAATATATTTCCCTGCTCGCATTTTAATAATCTTCTTTGTTTTCTCACCCGCCAGGAAATCATGGATGTTGAACATCTCTGGCAATATACTGATACGGAACTGGCGCGCATTAATCAGCCGCTGTCCTCATTTGCGTCTGGCGGCAGTTCGTCGAGCGCCGCGGGCGGTTCGAGCACCGCCGGACAGCCAGCTGGCAATGCACAACAGATGACCAATCCACTGCTGGCCAGTGCTGGTCTCTCGTCCAATGGCGAGAACGCCAATCCCGATCTGATTGCCCATCTCTGCAACGTGGCGGATCATCGCCTCTACAAGATCGTCAAATGGTGCAAGAGTTTGCCGCTCTTCAAGAATATCTCGGTGAGCATCTATCGGATATCAGACAGTGCATATTTGTTGTTAACCAAATCGACCTCAAACCTCTTCCAGATTGACGATCAGATCTGCCTGCTCATCAATTCGTGGTGTGAACTGCTGCTCTTCTCCTGCTGTTTTCGTTCCATTGATACGCCCGGCGAGATCAAGATGTCGCAGGGCCGCAAGATAACACTGGCGCAGGCCAAAACCAACGGCTTACAGGTGAGCTATGCAGCTGGCAAAGTGTGGCTAGAGTCAATTTGGAATATTATCAAAATTTCTTTTTTATAGAACAAGTTTTTAGGGTCATGTAGGCTGATATTGCCAGACAAATATTAGAAGTCAATATATATATATATATATAGAATAAAATTGTTGTTGTTTTGAATTGATCAATATAAATCTAAGTGCGTCAGACTTTTCATAAATTAAATTAATATCCTAAACATTCTTCCGAACAACTGCCAAGTATTTACATTATTTAGTTAGTTTCAATCGAGAGAAAAATAAAAAAAGATGCATTTTAAAGTAATTATAATTAATTATAATTTTTATAGTATTATTTATTAAATTTACAACATAAGACAAATCTGGTTATTGCTTAAATATTTTTAAAAGTTTGTTGTTTTTTTCAATCAATTGATATTATTATTATTATTTATACAAACATTTAACTGACACTCATAATTGACTCTTTGCAGGCCTGCATTGAGCGCATGTTGAATCTGACGGATCATTTGCGGCGTCTGCGCGTTGATCGTTACGAATACGTTGCCATGAAGGTAATCGTGCTGCTGCAGTCCGGTGAGTAGTTGCCTCTACGCTGCTCCAAAGGGCGCTTTCTAATAACATTCTTTGTATATGCTGGCAGATACCACGGAGTTGCACGAGGCGGTCAAGGTGCGCGAGTGCCAGGAGAAGGCGCTGCAGGGCCTGCAGGCCTACACGTTGGCCCATTATCCCGATACGCCGTCCAAATTCGGGGAGCTGCTGCTGCGCATACCCGATCTGCAGCGCACGTGTCAGGTAAGTAATTGTATCTTCAAGTTATTCAACTAGAAATCTATATCACTCTGTCTCTGTATCTCGCTCTTGCTGTAGCTGGCCAAGGAGATGCTGACGATCAAGACGCGCGATGGCGCAGATTTCAATTTGCTGATGGAACTGCTGCGCGGAGAGCATTGACAAATGTTGTGGGCCATGGAACGCTGTCGGCGCCATTGTTGGGGTTAAGACGGACATAAAAGTTTTATATGATTAGTATTAGTATGTCTATGCGTAGCTCTAAGTGCTCTATGTGTAAGCTCTGGAAAACATGTGCCTAAAATATGAACCTACCGCCAACACAGCAACAACAACAACAACGACAACATCAACAACAACAACAACTAGAGAAGAGCATTAAAACCCAGCGCGAAATTGCCAAATTTTTGAATAAAACATATATCTGTATATTGTGTATGCAAAAGTTGTTGTATGTGCGTTTGTTGCTGTTGTTGTTGTTGTTGTTGTTGTGCGGCCTAAGTTCATTAAATTATATAAAGTTTTTGCTATGTATACATATATATGGATTATGTATAGTAACTAAAGCACACATGGAAAATGAAAAGACTAAGAAATTTATTTAACTTAAATATTAAAATGCAAAATCAAATTCTAATGTTTAGTTCAAGTAATCAAACAAAACAAAACATAAAAAAAAAAAATACAAAAAAAAAAAACAACAAGAAATATAGCAGCTAATGGTTTTTTAAATGCATATATTGTGTATTGAAAACGACGAGTAAATCGAAAATTAAAGAATATTTTTTAAATAAAATGCCAAAACCGAAATTGGTTTAAATGAGAGCTGCTAGATTTTCGAACTTCATATATAAAACGTGAACGAGAAATCCATTTTTAAATGTTGTAGCATTTAGTTTTAGTGCAATTTCACATGTCTACTTATATATCGATATATCGATGTACATATATACATATATATTTAAATCTATATATATATATATATATATAGAGCGAGAGAGAGAGAGAGAAAGAGAGGGAGGCCTCAAATGGCCGGCAGGAAAATACAGAAAAGGGAAAACTATACAAGAAAAGACCACTCGATTCAATTGCCGCCTCAATGTGGCAGGGCGTGGCAAAAACTATTCCAGTGATGCTATTTGTTGCATAAAAAACATAAACAAACAAACAAAAAAAACACACACACACACACACACACACAGAAAAACAAAAACAAACTACATAAATCAAATTTATACTTTTGTCATTACACATACTGATAAACCACATATGAATATTTGTATCTGTATTCGTATTTGAATTGTATTTTGTATTCTTTAATTAATGTTTTAATATTATATTTATATATAATATATATATATATATATATATAGATGTGTGTGCGTGCATATGTGCGCACATATAATTTGTTTTATTGTAATTTTACTTAATAGCTGAAGCAAATCCTGTAACAGGATTTAAAACATTTAAATTACATACAGTTATATTTTTAATTGTCAACGCATAAACAAACCTAGATTATATAGCCTGCATATATATATAATGTCAATATGTGTGTGTACGTTAACTATAAAACTTCCAGCCCCACCAGCAAATCGCAAGCAAACAAAACAAAACTATATATAATTCCAATAATTTCAAAATGAAATATGCAACAGAAACATAAACATTAAAACGTTGCTACGCACAATTGGCCAGGTGAGGAATATGTCCTCAGTATTGACCTGTGATTGAAATGTTAGTTAAAAAAAAAAAGAAGATAAACTAAAAATTGAGATTAAGTATCCGCTATCACAGTATCTAAATTTTGATTGTTCGTGCAGTTTTCTTTATATATGCCATCTGCATTTTGTCCACAGCAGAGGCTTTTGAAAATTACAAATAACAAATTTCAATTGCTGCCTGGCCTCGTGTTGATGCGTAAATTGTAAACCTAAAGTAAATGCAAATAGTTAAATGTTAATTTAATGAATGGTCTAACTAAATATCAATATACCATATACCATAGTTAAATGCAATTGTAAAATGATAATCAAATCAAAATTAATTTATAGTTTGTCCACAACAATCGAAAATTGTAGCAGCTAAAAGCGACAAGGAAAGCCGCCAAATCATTTTGTAAATACATTTTGAAATGTTCATTTTTAGTTTTGCAGCATTTTGAAATTTTACTATTTAGGTTATTTGCTTAAATAGTTAAAGTTGCGCTATGATGTTTAATATGTGAAATTCAAAATTATTTTTGAGCTCATTTGAGCTCGGTTCTTGTGCTTGCTTGTGTGCTTTGGTGCTACTTTTTTCAACTACTCATCCATAGTAAATATTTTATTTCATTTTTTTAATAATTGTAATAACTGAAATTCAAGTGAAACAACAATTAAACATTTTTAATTGTCAATGCAATATTTTGTAATAAACATTTTTTCAAAAAAACGTCTACATATGAAAAACAATTAACAATTCGTAATCCTTTTGCTTAAGTCAATTCAAGAAGATCTCGATTTAACGAAATATTAACAAGCTTTCATTTATATAGCATTATAAATGTTTAACACATTTAAGGCATATATTTGTTTAACCCAAAATTCATTTAGGAGTCAACATTATTTGGCCACTCAATTTTATCCATATAAATATGCGTCTACCGGCAGCTGAAACTACAAAAAATACAGCCCGGATTTATGAGCCTGTGCAATCAAATTTATGTTTGCAGCAATGCTTTATTGTAGTTCAATAAATTTGAAAATTTATTAAAATTTATGCAGACGGCGCAGGAAGTTTCTAACGAGTGGAATGCAAGTGAAGCAACAATTTCCCCATTTCCAACAAACTTTTTCGTTGGTTTGGCTCACGGTTTAAATGAATGCCACCCCCAAATGGAGAGAACATGTGCATTAGTTCGATTTTCGGATACCCTCGCAGGAATATTGCAGATGAGGACGTAATCGGTAAGTTTGATATTTTGTAAAAAACGAATAGGCTTTCGGTAAAGAGAAGGGCAGCTTGGCTAAAGACAACGCGGCGATGCATTAAGCATTTTCGGATCATATTAGGATTAGGGCTTTATGCACACCCAAACCAAAAATCTATATGGCAGGAATTGATAAAAATGGAGGGGTAAAGCTGCAAATTGTAAATAGGTCTCCAGAACTAGACATCCAAATAATAAGCTAAAGGTTCGAACTGTAGAAATGTAGATGCCTGGTAAAATTACAATGCATGTTATCTGATTAGATCAATCGCGGAAAAATTCGATGTATCTCTAAAGCTTAGGTTTTCGAGCGATTTTGAAATCAAGATTATGATTATGATCTTATGATTGTTAGAAAAATACTTAAGCAATATATATTATTATATTTTCCTATTCCACACCCGTTCCACAACCGACCGCAACTAATCCTAAAGTTCTATTCTTCTTATTAGCCTTAATCTAATGAATGCACGCATATTATAAAAAAAATAGTTTGCAGTTTGGAATCGTTAGTTTATTATTTGGTTAATTTAAGCAAAGCTTTTGTGTATTTTCAGCAGCTTATTTCATTGAAATATATATTTTGAGCAATCGGGCAGAGGTTTAGAATTCACTAGTCCTAGATACACGCTGTAAAGATTCGGCATTTACGATGGGTTGATTAATTTAGAATTGGGTTTCCCCTACTTACACGAATATTGGCTGAGGTTGCAGCTGGTTGACTGTGAGGAGATATTGCAGAGGGGAGGTCCTCCGCAGCCAGCATCGACTGGCGCCTCAAAAGCTGCAGGGCAAGATCCAGGATATTGTGCCGGACAAGATCCAGGGAATTGTGCGGGACACGCTTGAGTGTATTGTGCAGGGCATGATTGAGTGTATTGTGCAGGGCACGATTGAGTATATTGTGCAGGGCACGATTGAGTGTATTGTGCAGGGCACGATTGAGTATATTGTTGTTGACACGGTTGAGTGAACTGTGCTGGACAAGGAGCTGAATAGGGATAGGAGCAGGACATGGGCCTGGACGAGCCGCAGAAGGCATTCGGTGGCATCATGCAATTGGTGGCACAGGGCGTCTCAAAGCCACAGCCTGGCTGTGGCATCATGCAGGGTGCAGCCGGGTAGCTGGAAAGTATTCAGAAAATTTTAATGATCGGTGCTCGACAAGAAACAAACGGTGCTTACCACCCGGGAGGGGGGCTGCTCAGGCAGTTGCTGCAGCTGCCACAGCCGCTGCAGCTGCCGCAGCCGCCGCAAGTCTCGCATTTGGGAAAATGATTGAAGTTGTTGCCGGGTGCACAGACCGGCTTGTAGTCGGCGGAGTAAACGGTTTGCGGCAGCATCGAGTCATTGCCAGAACAGATGGGCTCCATTCTGGTAGAGTAGCTGGGACAGGTCCCATAGCTGGGACCGGGGCAACAATTGGGACTGGGTCCACAGCTGGGACTGGGGCCACAGCTGGGACTGGGCCCACAGCTGGAACTGGGGCCACAGCTGGGACTGGGGCCACAGCTCGTGCCCATGCCCATGCCCATGCCCATGCCCAGGCCCAGACAAGGCGGCGATGGAGCAGTTAGGCAATTGGGCAAGCACGGTGTCTGCGTTGTTCGAAACTTCTGTATGAAGGCCTCAATATCCAAGCAGTTGTTCGCGCAGACATTGCTCTGCGGGTAGGATGAACAGCAGGGCATCTGAGCGCATAAAGAGCCCTGTTGCGGGCAGCAGGGCATCTGATAGCACGAGGTAGGCGGTACGCAGGACGCCTGCATGCAGTCGGCGGAGACCAGTGGACAGGACATGTTCATGTCGTTCTGAACACCACATGCTCCGCCCGGCATGCCTGCGGGCATGGGGCAGCTGCCATTTTGTCCACAAGAGCAGTACTCCATGGCGGAGTCGCTGGACGTGGCCGAGCTGGACATGTCGCAGGTGTTCAACTGACAAAGTCCGCCATGGCACGTGGCATTGCACTGCGGATTGCCGCTGTTGCCGTTCCGGGCCGCCTTGTGGGCCACTTGACACTGTCGTACGTCCGTGCAGTCGGACATCTCGCTGCTTTGCTGCTCCAGGCTGCTCCAATCCGTAGTTCGCGTATCGCTGGAGCCGCTTTCCGTCGCTGACCTGTCCTCCGGCTTGTCAGCTCTGACGCAGCAATCCATCGATGCACTGGAACAGGATGAATTCTCTGGCAGGCAGTCGCTCGCGTTGCATTCATTACAATAGCTGCTCGATGTACACGAATCATAGATGTTATTGAGTCCGCCTCCAGACTGTGGCTGTGCCTGTGTTTTTTGCTGCTGTTGCTGCTGTTGCATCTGTTGAATCTGAGCCTTCAGATACTGTTGCAGCGGCTGCGGCTGGAACTGCATATAGTTCTCCATGCCGGGATATGACTGTGACTGCAACTGGGCATACTTCAAGTAGTCTGCCTCAGGCATTTGGTATTGATAAGCTCCCTCTGCTGATGGCTGTGTCAGGCTATAGCCACAATAGTTGAGGCTGCCTTCAGGCATTGTCATGCCCATGCCCATTCCCTGTAACATTCCCAATCCCATATCCATGCCCGTGCCCGTGCCCGTGGCTATAGTAGTACCCGTGCCCGTACCCATGCCCATACCCATTCCTGGTAACATTCCCATGCCCATTCCCATATCCATGCCCGTGCTCATAGGCGTTCCCGTACCCATGCCCATGCCCATGCCCATGCCCATTCCAGGTAACATTCCCATTCCCATACCCATATCCATGCCCGTGCCCATGCCCATGCCCATACCCATATCCATACCCATTCCCGTTCCCATTTGCATTCCCATCTGCTGTGCATAACATCCATTAGCGGCCATTTCTTCCTGTCCGCCGCTCTGTGCAGAAAATTTGACGGCGTTCTTCGATGCGATAGGATCTCTTATGCCGGAACCATCTACGAAAAAAGTAATATATATAATATATAGTAATATATTGAGCTCTGGCTCGAATGAAATATTACGATTCAGAATTGTAACTGGATACTGGTTTATTCTTAAAAAAAATTCATAATTTATTATAACTTTGGATTGAATTAATTTAACTTTAGGCTATTGAATAATAAACTTATTCGACATTTAAAAAAGATTACTGAAACATAATCAGTAAACTCACCTTTAGTTCTGGTGCCACCCGGATCCTTTTCGACACTCTTCTGATGCGACTCTGTTTTTATTTCACCGGAAGATATACGAAAATCGGAGCTGTAAAAACAATCCATCAATAAAGTAGTTCAATCAAAAGTCTATCATAGATATCTTGCTTTTTAAATTTTAAATTCCCCGAAAGCTCTTTGTTTGATTCTTCGATCGAGATTGTGGGGTCTTTCGATTTAGAAGAGTCTTTTGTAGTTTCTGGTTTTTCTTCATTTTTGGTGTTCTCTATGTCATCTACCGAAGCTGGCGTATTTAAGGAATCCGTTTTAGTTGATATGTCGTCTGATGCAATGGAGTCCTCACTTTCTCCAGAGTTCTGTTTGTTGCCTTCTTTTAGGGTGGACGTGGAAGAGGTGCGCAGCTCGGGCTCCAGGGGCTTGTAGGTCTTATAGATTTCCTCGATGCTCTCAATGGCGTTCAACCTAATGGTGTTCTCCTCGCGCTGCGCCGGGGAGAGCGACGCTATATCAATGCTGTCCATTATAATCCAAGTCCTTGCTCAATTAGTGCTTGGCTTGACAACTCAACCAAACCCTCTGCTCATTAGTTCACCCATAACAAGAGCAACTGAGTGAATACACCCGAAATTTTGATGGGTTTCTGCTAGTATTTGCTTTGTATTTTCTGTAATTATTTCATGCTGCTTTTAAGTTGGATTCCAAGGCAACTTTGTTTTAAAGAAGTCAAAGGCTTTTCTCGTTTTCATATTTTGTATAGTGTTTGGAATAATCTGTGCAGTTTTTAAGGATACAAATTTATTTTTATTTTGTATTTTATGTATATTATTTAGTTTCTTAATTTAATTTATTACGTTTGTTAGACATTTCGCTTTTGCAGATATGTGAGAATAGAGTTCGTTGGAAATATCTTTGAGACATAATATTTGGTTATTTAGTTCCTATATCCACCGATCTTTCCTATAGTATATGAAAAAGTAGGCCGATGTTGATGAGATTTAGAATATAGAATAAAAAAAGAGCTAGTTTTCAACAAAGAACAATTTATATGAGAATCCTAAGGGAACTTATGAATCCCGAGTTAAGTAATCTTGATATAAAAAAGGTTTCTATATCCAAGCAAAATTTTCCACAAATCATTTTTATGGCAGCTATATGATAAAGTTATCCAAAGTTGATAAGATAAGATATGTTAATAAAACAAAAAAGAGTTTTGTAGTTTTGTGGATCGATTGTTCCCATAGCAGCCATATGATATGGAGGTTCGATCCGACCGGTTCCGACTTATGCCAAGTTTAAAGGCGGTAGCTTTAAGGCTGAGAGATATAGAACTGTCTGTTTCTGTCTGACCTGGCTATATCAACTCGGCTGTTGATGCTGATCTAGAATGCGTATACTTAATGTCTCCTTCCCCTACAAGGGTAGACTGAGTGCCGACGACTTCTCTGCAAAGGCCACTGACACTTCCTGCTGCTATTTCAAGGAAAGTATCCCCTACTACGACAGACGAAAATGTAGTTTCCGTTTCGGCACAATGTCATCTCAGTTCATATTTTCTTTAAATTTCCCTCAGCTGCATTTACAAACATACAAAAATGCTGCCTACTTTTTAAGCTGTAGCTCACGCACATATTCACACATACACAGGCACACACACGCACACACACACACACACACACACACACACACACACACACACACGTTTTGAGTGTAAAGTTGTTTGCCAGGCTTTTTATTATACTCTTGCAAAGGGATGTTTTAATTTTATTAGGAAATATGCAACCCCTAACGCATAAAATTTTTATTCCAAATAAAATAATTTTTTTTATTGTTTTTCATCAGCATAAAAATCGAAATTTTAAATGTTGACCAGGTTGTTGATTATGAGATACCTTTATGATGTGATCCAATTTGTGTTTATATATTTTTTATATATATATTTTTTTTTCTTCTTTTTGACTCCTTTTTGAATTAGCAATAAAAAATCATAGGTAGATAAAATATATTTTTAGTTTTTATGATTAATATCTCGTACTTTCATTAAACATTTCTTTTCTCTTCTTTTGCCATGTTGAGCAAACTTTGTTTACGGCAACATGGGAAACTAGTTAAATATATTTGGCTATCAAATCTGGGAAGGGTATTTATTTATCGGCATGTCTAATATGCAACACACCTGCCTTTGTAGCCGGTTGGGCTTATTAATTGCCAGCAGGTGTCTGCAGGTGCCGGTGACTTTAATTGAAATTCCGGATTTTCGGATGCTTGGAACCTTCTGGCGCTTAACGCTAGCTAATTATTGTGGAAACAATTGCTTTTTCCTATGGACGTTCAATTTCCACGAAAAAGGACCCTGGCTCCTTTAAAGGACTACGACTGAAATGAACTCAATTATTGAGAAGTTGAAATGAATTCGTTTTATCATCGAACACATCGCACCTGGCTGAACATATTGCAAGCCTGTTTGCACCTGTCCAACTGGGTCCACTTAAAGAGCATATCCATTTCGCTTAATGTCTCGCTTTTCTGGCACTTTGGATGGCAAACATTTGCTAACCAGAACCAGAACCAGTCATCATTATCGTCACCAGCTCTCGGCTGAGGCAGCAAATTTGCATGCCGGCGGCCACTTTGGCGTGCGATTGAAATGTTAAGTTGCAAAAAGTATGCTGAGCGATTGATTGATTGATCGATTGATTGATTGATTGGTAGGCAGCTGCAGGATGAGCTGATGGGAGTGGAGAAGGGTTTAGGAAGTGTGGGCTAATGATGCAACTTCAACATGGACCAGGACTTGGACTTGGACTTGGAGTTGAGAACTGTGGGCTGTCGTTATTATGTTCAATTAGACGCTGAGGAATTTAAGGCCATTTGATTGATGCCGTAATTGTTGGCTGCAACTACTCTGAAAAACGCTTTCTTTGTTTTTGTTTTTTTCTTTTTAACTGTTGCATGCAAATCGAAAACGAGTGGCTAAACTGTAGAATTAAAATGCTTGGTAGCTACAGAATGTAAATGCACCATGCGGGCTACTAGATAAGAAACTAGATACCATATTTCTTTATTTCCTGTTTTCTATAATTCCTTAGATAATTTCAAAAAATTTATATTAGCGGCATGAGTTTAAAAACTTAAAGGTGTGGCAACGCTGTCATTAACAGACGCCAAAATACAGATATAATTGCCGGTATTTGAATAATATATGGATAAATTTCGTTAGACTAAACTTGTATTAATATATGTTTATTCTATAAACATAAGCTAAAACTATTTAAATCATAAATAATAATTAAACAACTATTTCAAAGTCTCTCCCAAATTGTTAACCAACTGCCAGACGCTCAGAAAATAAATCGTTAACAGTAGCGCTAAAAAATACCGAAACGAGAAATACTAAATGTATCAACAGCTGTTAATGCAAAATTCGCCAGCTAACAGCATACTGTTAACAGTGTGTAAAGAAGTTTCCAACCGTGCGGGTGGCCACGCGCGTGCCAATAAGAACTCCAAACAAGAAATTGGAAACCAACAATGAGATTTTCGCAAAATAACACTTAAATCATAAAAAAAAAATAAACAAATCAAAACAAAGCGTGCCAAGCTGTGCGAGTGCGAGGTGTGTAAAAAGTCAAAGGCTAAATGTAGAATACAAATACAATGCAGCCTGCGTAAAGCCGAATGCAAGAAGCTAATCGCAATCACAGTAATAAAAACAAGTGTAACACACAATATTAATGTGCGAGGCGTGCGGCCGCAGCCAGCCTAACACTGTGTGCGTGCATGTGCATGTGTTGTGTGTGAGTTTTGTTTGCGCTTGTGTGAATTTGTGTGTGTGTGTGCGCGGGTCACCTAAATAAACCAATTTTAATTGGCAAGAAGAGAGCAAGAAGCATTTATTGTAGTTGCGGCCAAAAATCAGCTGTCTGCTATGTGTGGATGTGCACTTGTGTGTGCGCATTTGAGCAATTGTGTGCACTTGTATGTGCCTGGGTGTGTGCGTGTGTGTGTGTGTGTGTGTGTGTGCCTATGCTCGGCATTTGTTGTTGTTGCGTCGGCCCGTTTTAAGCATTTTTGGTGTTAAATTTTGAAGCCTGCCTTCGTTTCTTTTTCTTTCTCCTACATATTCTGCGCTTATCTTTTTTCAAAGCCAAAGCCACAGCCAGCAAACTCGTTTCGTTATTTAGTTGCCATTGGCTTTTGTTGTTGTTGTTGTTGCTGTTGCTGTCTCTGTTTTTGTTGCGCGACGCGTCACGCCTTTTGTATTTTTAATCGCGCAATTCATTCATGAGGCCCGCAACAGCAGCAGCAGCAGCAGCAGCAACAACAGCAACAACCGATCGTCTGCTTAATTTGGGGCGCGCGTTTTCTACTCCAAATTTCTTTTATTTTCACCCAAAAAATAATAAAGATAAAAAAAGAGAAGGAAGCAAAATATCAAACAAAAGCAAAATCAAAAGAAATCAAATTTCAAACTTGTAACAGCGTCAGCAACAGTAACAGCAACAACAACAGCAGCAATAACACTAACAGTTGCAGTAACAGTGACAAAAAGCAACAACAAAATATTCACTCACAGCAGCCGTAGCCAAATTGCACTTTCTGCCGTTTTTGTTTCTGTTGTGGTTGTTTTTTTTGGTGAATTTGTGATGTAAGTTGTATATTTTTAAAAGTATTTTTAAACACACACTCTTTTCCGTTTGTTGTTGTTAATTTGCCTTGCCTTACGCCGTTTGCTGTTTCGAGATTTGGTTTCGCGCTGACCGACCGGCTTTTTATCGCATAGTACAAAAACAACAATTACAGGCATTTCCGTTTGTGTTTACGCACACATTTTTAAGTTTCGAAATTGGGATTCCGTTTGCGAATACCCTGTATTAAAGAATCTCTACACTTAAGAAACTTGGTCCAGTTAACCTTTAGTTAACATTTCAAGCATTTAAAAAATCAAACAAAAAAAAAAACAGTTAGAAAAAGTTTAATCTCGTAAGCCATTCGGTTTTCCATAATGTTCTTATCAAAAAATGATTTGAATAAAATCAAATGGAATTTGATGAAAGTTACCCGCCAAGTTTTTAATGCCTTCTTCTTCTTCCATTTTAAGCGAGATAATATATTTTTTTATCGTTTTAAATTGTTGCCCGTATAACTTTGTATAATGAAAGGTTATTTGGTCACAATAGGAAATAATTTGAACAACGAAATTTATTTGATTTTTGTGGCTTAACAAATAGCCGTGAGATCAGCTGTGACAAATTCAATTTGCAAGCTAAATTTTGTTTCATTGCAAGAAATGATAATTGGGCTTGAGCTTAGATAAATATTCGAAGAACTAATCTTAAAATGTAATTCAAACATATTGGAAAACATTTTTCATTAATTTATGGAATTCAATTTGGCACTTTTAACGGATTTCTTTGTATTGTATTTTGTATTTTTTGTGTGGTCATTCTGCTTTATTGCCCTTTTAATAAAAAGAAAAAAAGATCACAGTTTTTACAAAAGTAATAGTTATCGTGCATCAAAGATAATAATAATATTTTTCAAGGAATAATATTATTTTTTAAGGAACACATCAACATTTAGGTTTTGTCTTTTATGGAATCCAATTCGTAAGTTTACTTTATTTTATTTCTTACAACATTTTTTTAAATAAAATTATTTTTCATATACATAAAAATATTTATATGCAATAATTGAT